TCAATTTTTGATCACCTAATATTCTCTTTAGGTGGAATTTCACTGATTTGATGCCAGCTTCCCAAATGCCACCAAAATGGCTGCCAGTGGGTGGCGAGAAGTGCCATTTGATGCTTTTCAATGTCAAATGTTTTGTGACCATTTCATTCGACTTTTCTTCACGCAAAAATTCATAAAGCTCATCCAAATAATTATTTGTGCCCTTGAAATTTGATCCATTATCCGAAAAAATGTCAGTACACATGCCTCTGCGCGATGTGAATCTCTCCAACGCGGCGATGAATGCTTCCGTAGTCAGATCGGAGACGAGCTCTAAGTGAATTGCTTTCGTTGCAAAACAAATGAATAAGCAGATGTAAGCCTTATGAGAAGGTGCATTTCGTCGCTTAGAGTCTTTGATCAAATACGGACCACCAAAATCTGTTCCAACTTTCAGGAAGCAGCGCGCGGCAGGGACGACGCGGGACTCTGGAAGTTGCCCCATTTGCGGCGCAACATTTCTGGGAGCGGCTCGGAAACAAATAATACACTTATGAAGTTGAGCTTTAATCGCATAACGAGCTGAAAGAATCCAATAACTTTGGGATATGATGCTTTGCAGTAAGCGAGGTCCGGCGTGAAGATTTTGACGGTGAAAAAAGTCGATGATCAATTTGGTCAGATGAGCGTTTTTTGGCAAAATTGCCGGATGCTTGGCGGCCATCGGCAAATTGGATTTATCGAGTCTACCCCCCACCCTAAGCACTCCTAGGGGATCAATGAAGGGGTTCAAACTTAGAATTTGATTGCTGACCGTTTTTCCGCTGCGTAGTGCTTGAATGTCTTGAGCAAAATTTTGAAGTTGAACCAATTTTAAAATTGTCAGCATGGAGGAGTTAACTTCTTCAATTGAAAGTTCTCCTTGAGCAATTTTCGAGGCTGAATTTTTCTTCTTTTGATCAATTTTAGCTCGACAATTTGAGACGAAACGAAAAAACCAGGCAATTGAGTTGCGGAGTCGAGTCAGGCTTGAAAAACGGCTTAAAGTATCCGTAGTTTGGGCAATAAAGGCTTTTTTGACATTTTTGAGCTCAGGGATAGCCTTTAATTTTA